AATTAGTTAAACTTTTGTTAATATTAGTTAAATTTAAATTAAATGCATTTAAAAAAGGTTGTTAATTAATTAACGAAATAAATTCCTTAAAATTAGTTAAACGTACGTGTAATTTAAACATAGGGTTAATTAAGTTGTATTTAATTAAAATTACGTAAATTAGTTAAATTATAGATGATATTAGTTAAATATATATGGTTAAATATAATTATAGGATTTCTTTATTAGCAATTATTGTTAATGCCTAATTTAGGATTTATAATGATTTAAATTAGGGTTAGTTAATTGAAACATTACTTAAGTATGATGAATTAGGATTGTGAATTACGTAAATTAGTTAAATTTTTTATAATATTAGTTAAATTTAAGTATTATTTAATTTAAATGAGTTTATATATATATATATATATATGCTCAAATTATTGGATTTGCTCATATTATTTAATTTAGGGAATTGTTAAATGTGCATTATTAATAAGATTAAGATGTTGATAATTTTAGTATTGTGGATTAAATGCCATTAACGTATTGTGCATGTTTATAGTTTAATAATATTAATTGGACGTTAGTTAATTTTAAGGGAATTTTAGTGAAATTTAATATATAAATGTTCGTACATATAAAAAATTATTGTTAATGTTTATGAATTAGTTAATGCCATTAACGTAATAATTTAGTGTATTTAGTGTTGAAATCATAATATTGGTTATTAGTTAATAATTGAAATGATTAATGATATTATATGATCATATTAGTTCATCTAGTGAATTAATTGCATTGAACTTTAATTAGTGAAATTTAATATATGAATAATACTCCACATATGTTGGTAATGTTTATAATTTAGAGGTTTTAACCTGTATAATTTTTTTATTATAATATTCAGGCATAATGTATAGACAAAATAGAATTTGGATGTACGATAAAAATGCGGTATTGTGCGGAATGCAATCAAATTTTCTTGAAGGAGTTGAGAAGTTTATTGCATTCGCACTTGAACACTCGCTTATATGAGTGGTGATAAAATCAGATGTCCATTTTCAAAGAGTAAAAATCTCAAATTTGAACACCGAGACGAATTGAAGTTGGGTGGGATTTGTACGCGGACGGTTTCGTTCCCGATTATTATAATTGGACTTCACATGGCGAACCTTTGGATCCATCTGTTTTACCAAAAACGGTAGGTTCGTCTCGTAACGTCCCTGCAGAGATGAGTGCGTGGGGAGACCCTGCTGAAATGGGATGGGAGCAACGTATGGTATATGACGCATACGGTGCATCGATGTCTCAGTTCAACCCCCCACAACCATCTAACGATCCTCCTGAAGCCTCCACCTCGTATCAACCAGATGAGGATGAAAATCCGATATTCTATCAACCTTATGTGGATGAAGGTTTAGTTGAAAGATTTCAAGATGTTTTAAAAGCAGTCGATCAACCCCTGTATCTTGATTGTGAGGGATACTCTCAGCTATCCGCCGTTACAGAGTTTATGAACATAAAAGCCGAATACAATCTCCCTGAAACTTGCATGACTAGAATCTTGCAGTCAGTAGGCGGGATGCTACCACGTGATCATAACCTCCCCGATTCATATTACCACATTAAACAATTAATGTCTAAGTTGGGGCTACCTTATTTAAAAATTGATGCGTGCCCGGAAGGATGTATGTTGTTCTGGAAGGATGATGAGGCACTTGAATTCTGCAAGTTCTGTGGTGGAAACAGATACAAACTTGTTCCTCAAAGTAAAAAGAAATCACAAAATAGGTCAGCATTATCTAAAGTGTATTACCCCCCAATAGCTCCACGACTTCAGAGGATGTACGCTTCGACTGCTACTGCGAAACACATGACATGGCATGTTGAGCACGAAACCAAAGAGGGTATGATGTCTCACCCTTCGGACTGTGAAGCTTGGAGACACTTTGACCGTTGTCATCCTCAGTTTGCAATGGAGCAACGAAATGTGCGACTGAGATTGTGTTCAGACGGATTTGCTCCATTTGGAAGGTTTGGGAAGAACTATTCATGTTGGCCGGTCATGTTAACTCCTTACAATCTCCCTCCCGACATGTGCATGAAAAATCACTTTATCTTTTTGACTTTAATCTATCCGGATCCCAATGATCCAGGAAAAAAGATAGACATTTATCTCCAACCCCTTATCGATCGAGTAGATGAAAGAACTTTGGGCCATTGGGACACCAACTTATGATGTTACAAGGGATCAAAACTTTATCATGAAAGCTGCCATCATTTGGACCAATAGCGACTTCCCTGCCTATGACATGCTTTCGAGGTGGAGCACACACGGTCTTATGGGATGTCCGATATGCATGGAGAAATCAGGTGCCAATTGGCTAACTTTCAGTAAAAAACCAAGCTACTTTGATTGTCACCGCAAGTTTCTCCCGGAAAACCACCGATATAGAAAGGACAAAAAGTCTTTCATTAGAGGTAGAGTGGTAAGAGGCAACCCTCCCCCGAGATTGACCGGGGAAGCAATTTTTAACCGGGTTCGACGTATTCCTACGGCTATGCAAGAGCCAAATAAGAAGTCATATGGGTTTTGTAATACCCATAAGTGGACAAAGAGGAGTATATTTTGGGAGTTACCATATTGGAAAGACCTTCTCATTCGTTAAAATATAGATGTCACGCACACTAAGAAGAACGTGTTTGACAATATATTTAACACAATGATGGATTTCAAAGGCAAAACTAAAATGGTCTTGCATCTCAAAAAGATATGACTATTTGATGTGATAGACCCGAACTTTCTGTTGATCTAGAATATCAAGGTAACAATATTCCAAAAGCAGTCTACCAAGTCACAGAAGTACAAGAGGAATCAATATTACAATGGCTTGTGTCTCTGAAGTAGATGGCTACTGCTCCAACTTGTCTAGATGTGTGGACATGAACAAACTTGCAACGATGTCGAACATGAAAACTCACGATGCTCATGTAATCATGCAAAGACTTCTCCCAATTGCACTGAAAGAGATGCTTCCTGAACGCGTATGGTCCTGCAATACTGAGATCAGTTTGTTGTTTCAGTCGATATGTTCAAGCATTTTGGATGCAACATCCCTCCGGAGACTAGAAGAGTCTGTTCCCATGGTGATGTGTAATTTGGAAAAGATAATGCCTCCATCGTTTTTCGATGGAATGGAACATCTTGTAATACATCTTCCGTATGAGGCTTTGAATGGTGGGCCTGTCTTCTATCGTTGGATGTACCACTTTTATTTTACATTGCAGATTTCTTGGAGAGTTGAAAAAGAAAGTGACCAACAAGGCACACATTGAGGCATCGATTTGTCAAGCTTATCTTCAACAAGAAACCTCAACGTTCTCATCCTTTTATTTTGGCATCAATCCGCCGTCCGTTTCCACCGTCCGCCGCCGTTGTCCGGTAGCTACCTCCGTCCCTCTTCGCCGTCCTCTTCATCAAGGTTATGTGTTCTAAATTTAAATTACTTTTCATTCTTATTTTTAGTATTTGATTTTTATTCCAAAAATGCATGTTATTATAAGTTTGTTCGCATTATTAAAGTGCATGCTCTTTTGTTGAAATACACTCAAATGCATGATTATGTACATGATTTTTTAGTTTTATATAATTTTCGAAATTATCAATTTGTTTTTGATGGAGTATATGGGTCTGAGCCCCAGGACCCACATACTCGGAAGAACAGAGCACAAGACAACAGAGTGGCGCCCTCAGGAGATATACTCTATCAGTTTTATGTATTTTAATTTTCGGTTTTGTGTATTAATACACGTGTAATATGATTTAGTTTATATGCTCAATTTGATTTATGCATGATTTTTAGTTTTTTATACATGTTTTGTGTAGTAATATGATTTCGAAATATGATTTAGTTTATGATTTTCTTTAATATTCGAAAAATAATTTTCGAAATACATGTTTACTATTAAATTTCGAAATATGATTTAGTTTATAATTTTCTTTAATATTCGAAAAATAATTTTCGAAATACATGTTTACTATTAAATTTCGGAATATGATTTAGTTTATAATTTTCTTTAGTTGGTATACATGTTTAATATAATTTAGTTTATTACATGTTTTATATGCTCAATATTACATGATTTAGTTTATATATTTAATAGGCATGACTATATGTTTTGTGTGTAGGTTTAATATGCATGCCTATGTATTTATTTAGGTTATTTTGGACTATTTTTTGGACTTAGAATGAAGCATGCTCAATAGAATTCTTTGGACATGGTTAGGGCTATTTTTATTTTATCATCTATCAAAATTATTATACCCGAATTTTTAAAAAAAATACCCCCTCATGTCAAACTCTTAAAAAAGTTTAACATGTTAATTACTCCCTCCGTCCCATAAAATAAGTCCCATTTTCCTTTTTGGGTTGTCCCAAAAAATTGTTCTCATTTCCCTTTTTGGAAAGTTTTGTGTGGCTAACATTCATTTACATTTTTCTTACTCAACTACAACCATACATTTCCACTTTATTCCCACTTTCTTAAACTCCGATCCAAATTGCAATGGGACTTATTTTATGGGACGGAGGGAGTATAAAATATCAATTAAGACATTAAAAACCGTTTTCTGAAATTTAATATATAAAATATAGATTATAAAAAACAGTTTAATAAAAACTGTTTTTTTTACAAAATTGGCATATGAATAAATACAAAATTTGATTTTATACAAGAAAGCTCATTTATTTAAAAAGGAGGTTTAAAACTATTTTTATAAAACTGTTTTCATAAAACTGTTTTTATAACTGTTTTTATATAAAACTGTTTTTATATAAAACTGTTTTTATATAAAACTGTTCTTTAAAAACTGTTCTTTTAAAACTGTTTTAAAACTGTTTTTAGAAAACTCTTTTTATACAAAACTGTTTTATACAAAACTCTTTTTATACAAAACTGTTTTTATACAAAACTGTTTTTATACAAAACAGTTTTTTATAAACTTTAAATACAAAAACTTATTTAAATACAAAAACTTAATTTTTGATAAGTCAAAATATTTTTTAATGTATTAAAATGATTTTTATAACTTCTCTATCAAAAGTATATAAAGACTAATACCCATACACAGTTTAATATGATTTTTATAACTTCTTTATAATTGAAAAAAAATCGACCCCTCATATTAGACTAATACACAGTTTCATATGTTATACACATTTTCAATCGATAAAACTTGTACAAAAATTTCATCTTATATTATGTTTACACTAACATTTAAAAATATGAATTAATATATTTTAGATGAGCAATGAACAGTCAACCTCGTGTGCCCGGCCGAACTATGCGCCCCTAATCGAAGCAGAGCGCAACAATGAAAATTCGGTTTGGGTGACATCTCACATGGTCGCTAAGTAACTATTAACTTTACCTAATGTCAAATAATTTCATCTAATGTCAAATAATCTAACAAAAACGGATATAACAAAATATCATTAATTTTTTGAAACAATCAACAAGTGCTAGACCAAATCAAAAACATAATTGGTGGACACTTTCTTAGGAACTGGGCAACCTACAACGATGTTGACCTCAAGGTCCGTGAACTTTGGTTGAACCTGTTCAAGGTAAAAAAAATGAATGTTCCCTGCGTAATTGTAGTGACTTAAAATTTGACAAATTATAAATTAATTTATTTTTTTAATAAAGGGCCGGTTTCGATGGACTGGAGCACAAGGCCCCGATATTCTTAGAGTGTATACCGCTAGAATTTCAAACTGGCTTCGTCCCACCTTTAGGCGTGCCCGAGCTAGAGGGGTAAGGCCGGGATGGTGTTCAGATGAGGTGTGGGAAAACCTCGTCCGCCACTGGTCTTCAGATCCGAACTTCTTGGCTAGAAGCGAAGCCGGGACGAAAAATCGGATGTCCGAGAAGGCATTACAGACACAATGGCACGGGGGCCACAAACCTCAGAGTAAACATAACGAAGCTCTTGTAAGTCTTATTCAAACAAACTTTACACCATTTTAACCCTTCATTTTTTACATTTATTTATGGATTTTAAGCCTTTTTCGAACCATGTAGGCGAGGCCTGAGAAGAAGAGAGTCTCGATCCTCAAGGTCATCAAACACTGTTTAACGAAGCACGGCGATGAGTCAGAAGCCGATCTGCCACCCCGCCTCGCTGAAATCGAAGTAACATCAATTTTAAATTTCAATTTCCATTTAGTAACATTTTAAATCTAAGTAAATAACATTTCAATAATTTTTGTACATGTAGACGAATTATAACACAACCGTTGAGAAGAAGCAGGCAGAATTAGGCTTGACTCAGGAGGGTGAGATCGATTCTGATGTGGAAGATGATGCGATTTTGGAGGCAGCTGGGGTGTACAAGGGTCGTCTTCCGTGTATGGGGGTTGAGGGGCAACAGATTTTGTATGACCGCAGCTGCAGCGGAGATTCATCTTCTCGATCAAGGCGGGGAGAGGATCCGCGCATCGCCCAAATGCAGCGAGAATTGAAGGAGCAATAGCGGGCATTGGAGGAGCAACGGAAGAAGGATGAAGAAACAAGAGCCCGACTGGAAGCGATGGAACGGATCTTAAACTCCGGATATCAGCCTCAGCTTCATCCTCGACCGCACATGGCTAATATGGGTTATCATTCTAACTCCGGATATAAGTCTCCGCCTCCGCCTCCGCCTCATCCTCGGCCGCACATGGCTAATATGGGCTATCATTCTAACTCCGGATATGGTAGCATGCCTACGATGGGGTCCACATTCGGATCTCTATCGTATGATTGCGTGAATCAATTTGTGTCATCCGGAAGAGGCAGTCGAGGAGGCAGCCGAGGAGGTAGCCGAGGAGGCAGTGGAGGAGGCAGCCGTAGTGGAACCCGAGCTGAAGACCCCGAGGAGCCCGAAGATGATGATTATCTTGTTTATGATGATAATGATACATATGATAATGACGATCCTAGTTTTTATCACAATGGAGTCCGATGACCGGACATGTAATAATACACATTTTTAAGTTTTACATTTCATATTACTTTTATGATTGCAGTCTGTTATAACTTTTATTAACTTTGTTGTATGTGTATGAATTTTGTTTTTTATTTAATGTTATAATTGCTTAACTTTTTAAAATATAATCTTTTTCTTGATAAATTTTTGAAATATGTTTAACAACTTTTTTTTAAGAAAAATTAAAATAATTTTTTAATTTTATTTTAAAAATGGAATTTAAAAAAAAAACATTAGTCACGGATCTCTTCCGTGACTAATGTTATTTTGTCCGGAATTCTTTATTAAATTTAAATTTTTTTTTTAAAAGCGTAGTCACGGATTCAATCCGTGACTAATATGGCCGTATTTAAAAAAAATAAACTTAGTCACGGATCGGTTCCTGACTAATATGGTCATATTTAAAAAAATAAACTTAGTCACGGATCGGTCCGTGACTAATATGACCGAATTTAAAAAAAAATAAACGTTGTCACAGACATGTCCGTGACTAAAACAAAAAAAATTCGATAAAGCATAGTCACGGATCTGATCCGTGACTAACGGGCCGGAGTAGCTATTCCGGCCAAGATTTAGTCACAGACCAGGTCCGTGACTAAACCGTGACTACAGTTAGTCACGGATAACAGTTAGTGACTACATATAATCACGCAAGATTAGTCACGGCCTTAGTCACGGTCACAATCCGTGACTAAAATAGTTAGTCACGGATTTTTTACACTACGGTCCGTGACTAAATCCGTGACTATACGCGAATTTTTCGTAGTGTCTCTTAAAGAATGTGTTCTGTAGCTTCCGTCCTAAACTATGAACATATAAAAAATTAAGGTACTGATTTTGTTTCCAATATATATAGCACATGTCCTGTTTCATACCAACATTCACTGACTACGACACTATAATAACTACATAAGAAATGATTAGAAACTAGTGACTAATATAACCGTCGTTTACAAGAATGTTACCTCCTAAATGTAGGGACTATAGTAGTAACTTAAGTCATAGTAATTTATGTTCAATTTTTATACTTAAGTGATTACAACACTATAATATACGAAGCACTATATTGTAACTTTAGTCATATTTTTGTAAATAGGTTTTACTTCAATAATATGTTTAAAAATCCTCTAACTATACAACAATATACAGATATTAGATTTTAAAATGTTTTATAGACTCTTCTACTATTTTTAATTCATCAGTTAAGTTGATATACTAAAAAAAAGTATCAAACGAGTATGTTTACTTAGAATCAAACCACTTTGAGTTGCTATAAAAGGTTATTTTAAATGAATTAATTTAAATCATTGATAAACCTTAAAACTCATTTAGATTTGAAAAATAATGTAAGAGGAATGCTTGGTGTACCCAAATTTCTACACAAATTGTACACCGCTTGTGTACACAGACATTTTGACAGAAAATCTTGTCCCTTTTCAAATGAAATACATAGGCAACTAGGGAGGTGTGTACAAATGGTGTACAAATTTGGGGGTACCTATAGTATTTTTCATAATGTAATGACCATATACAAAATTGTATAAATTCGAAAATAGATAAACAATTTAAAAATATTAATATAAAAAGTAATAATGTGAGTGTAAAAAATATAAAATTAAAATGTAATAACCTTAAAAGAGATGCAAAATATAAAAGTAATTTCAAAAATAAAAAATATAGACTTTTAAATTCTTAAATAATTCACTATTTTTTAAATTCCTTTGAAATTTAACCAATTCTTAAAAAACAATAATGTAAAATCTACGATTAAAGGTCAAAAACCAATTAAAAGACTAAATTGACCGACTTTTTAAATTAAGCATACTTATATGGTATTTTTTTAATGTAGGGGATTAAGCGAAACATTAGTGGAGAAAATGTAAGAATGTTCATTATAGTTAATCATTAATAACAATAAGATCATTATTATTTACAACATACCGCGAGAAACTTAAATAAGTAAGAATATTTATCATAATTAATTGTTTGGTTGTATAATAATTTATAGGATTCAATATAGTTATTATTTGAGTTGAGTTGAGAAAATGTAGGTTAAACCAATGTTAATTTATCATTTGCGATCAAAGACTCTAAACAAAGATAAGTCAGGGGTTCTGTTGAAGAGTATTTCATAGGGAGTCTTGTCAAAGTGTCTATGAATTGGTGTTCTATTTTGTGTGAAGCACGCAGTACTAATGGCTTCAGCCCACATGAAGTGAGGAAGTTTAGACTGTATAAGCATGGTACGTGCGGCTTCAAGCAGAGTTCTATTTCTTATTTCAACAACCCCATTATGTTGTGGAGTTTTGGCAGCTGAAAATTGTTGAGTGATACCTTGGTATTCATAGAAATCAATGAGAAGTTGATTCTTGAACTCAATACCATTGTCTATTCGGGTTATTTGCACACTCTTCTATAGAAAATTCTGAATGGTTCTGATGAAGGTTATGATGGCATTTGCAGCTTCATCCTTTGAGCGTAAAAATTATATCCATTTGTATCAAGAAAAGTCATCAACGATAACAAAAGTGTACTTGCGACCATTGATGCTTTGGATACTCATAGGTCCGCACAGATCCATGTGTAGGTATCAGCTGAAGTGGATGAGAAGAGGATGGAACTTGTTTTGACTTGTGAGATATTCTTGTCTTCTTGGCCATTTTGCAGGCACTACAATGGTTGTCAGCGGAAGATTTTAGAAGTGGGAGCCCCTTCACAAGTTTTTTGATTGACAGAATAGACAGATTTTGGAAATTCAGATGAGAGAGACGCCTATGCCACAGACTGTTTTGTTCAGAGGAGGCTTTGGACAGCAGACAGATGGAAGAAGTTGATTCACGCTTTTCAGATCAATGGTGTACGAGTTTGAAGTCCTGGTACACGTTAATAATGATGTTCCATAGCTGTCCATCACGCAACATTGTTTGGATTTAAACTTCACTTCCACGTCGTTGTCGCAGAATTGGCCAATACTCAACAGATCGTGCTTAAGGCCTTTCACAAATGACACAACCTTAATAGTGACATTTGCGCATGTCACATCTGCATAACCGAGGATTGAAGATGATGCATTGTTTCCAAATCTGACGTTCCCTCCGTAGCATTGTGTGTAGTTGCTCAACAGTTTTTTTATTCCGGTCATGTGGGTTGAGCAACCGGAATCTAAGTCCCACACATGACCATTCTACAAAACAATTATGTTTTCTTAGGTACCCACCTTAGGATGGGTCCTTCCTTATCAATCGAGAAAATATCTTTAAAATTTTGTTTAAGTTGTGATCCAAGGTCAGCAACTTTTGAAGCAAAGGATTGTGTTTTATCAAGTTCAGATTTTGGTACCACTTTTGTTTAAAGACAGGAGTTGGGAGACATCTTTCTTGTTGGTGAATGGTTGGGTAGTGAGGTATGGTTTGAAGATTTCTTCTTTTGAGAGTCTTTTGAAATGCTTCATAGAATGAACTTTGAGGGATTATTTCAAGTTTGGAAAATTATAAACACCATTGACAGCTCTATTCTTGGATTGTTTTCGAGAACAACACGCATTCACATTTTTCATACGCACACCATTCACATCACAATCATGATCAGATAATGAAGAATCAGATCCAGAATAACCAAGACCAAACGCATAAACATCATCAGTTGAATAAAAACATTCAAAAGTTGATTTAGAAACATTTAGCTTGGGAAACAAGTCTGAAGAATAACTACACGATTGAACATTTGAGCCAGATCTACAATTAATTTTGGAGTAAAACAAGGCACTAGAATTAGACTTGTTATTATTCAAAAGCTCCTTCCTTTTTCCTTCAGCTCTTCTTCTTCTCTCCTGCATCCACTCCTTCCTCTCCTCCAATATCTTACTCACTTTGTTTCGTGTTTTCAAAGGAGACTTAGAGTGAGTGGACGCTTTTTCAGAAAATTGAGTTTTGTTTTTCTTTTTAAAAGCATTATCAGAACATGAATTACTTGGTGAAAAGGAAGTTGTGTTGGGCTGTGAACTTTCTTTCAGAATTGCGAGTTCTCTCAACAATCTCACCTTCTCACTTTGAAAACTTTTTCTTTCTTCTTCAAAACTTTTTCTTTCATTTTCAATTGAAATGTGTAAGTTTGCAAACTTTTTTATTAAAGGAGGGATGTGAGGTAGAAGGAGGTTCCTGGTCTGACACAGATTCCTTTTCAGAAGGATAAATATTCATGCTTTCATCAATAGAAAATCTAGGTTCTTTAGTGTCATAGCTCTTGTTTAAAGCTGTGTACTTAAAAGGAATTTCTATTTTAGAGTTGTTTGATCTCTTTTCATTCTTAAGTTCAGCCGTTTCCTTGGCACTCACAAAGAAGATCAACTTGGTCAGTCCGAGACCCATGTACTTAACGTCATAAAGTTGCCCACAGTTAACTTTCTTCAAGTTACACGGGTTGGATAGACCAAGGCCTTCTTTAGAATTATAGAAACTGGTGTCCTTGGATTGATTTAGAACAATGATGTGTTCTATTTGGCCTCTTTTTGCAATCAAGTCCTCAAGCTCTTTAATTTTTCTATAAAGAGCACTTCTTTGTTCATGAAGAGTTGCTCTTATAGATCATGTTTGATTTAGCTCTACCTCAGTTTCACCCAATTGCTTAGTTAGATTAGCAACCTTTAGTTTTAGCTTATATGTGTCTAAAGTCAATTTCAAAACTTTTTCTTCAGATGATTCAAGATGTATGGTGAGTGAGGCATTCTTTCTTAGATTTTTCACTAAAACTCTATGAGTGTTTTCTAATATCTCCTCAAGTTCCTTAATGATTTTTGCATTATTTAACGAGGAATGAGTATCGCACGAACATGTGCAGAGAGATTTAGAAGTACTTACATCATGAGACGAGCCTTCTCCTTCCCGGTCGGGAATCGCAGCATCACCCTTTTCTTCATCCTTCTCGACTATGGCCATCATCGCCATGTTCTCTCCTTCTTCATCTAAAGAATCATTCAGCCAGTGATCTTTCTGTGCCAGCAGTGCAATATTCTCATCTTCCTGCTTAGCCATGAGCATTTTATGCTTATTGAGGAGCATCTTCTGCTTGTAATAGTTAAAGTCCCTCCTCCTTGGTACGCGGAAATCTTTGATAAGATGCCCGACTTTCACGCAATTAAAGTATTTTGGAGTTTCTTCTGCT